TAAAAATCGACGCGTTTCAGAAAGGCGGGGCATAGAGGAGAAACAATAATGTACAGTATGTGGAAAATAATGTGTTTTTTGAACCTTAAACCGCATAAACACATTTCATTACACCAAATACACAAAATAATGTTCTTTTTAGCAGCATATGACCCCTTTAATTCTTGTCACCAGTGTCATTACCACAAAAAACTAATACTAACCAAAATAAAAAATAAAAAAAACTCACTGAGGACAACTAAATAGAATAAGAAACTAATTACAAGCAATAGGACAAAAAAAACCCTACAAACTACAGTAGAATAAATAAATAATAAATTCTACATACATTGTTTAAAGTAATCAAATGTATAAAAACACTGCATAATCTTCACTGTGTAAATTAAAGGGGTCATCGGATGCCCGGGATGCATCAGAGTTGATATGATTCTTTAGGGTCTTAATGAAAAGTCTATAACATACTTTGGTTAAAATTTGTCAATGGTAGCGTAAAACAACACCCTTTTTACCTCGCCAAATCAGCTCTGTTTTCTGCAAGCCGTTTTAGTCCATGTTCCTTTATATGCTAATGAGCTCTGCTGACCCCGCCCCTCTCTTCCGTGGGGTGACCAGCCGTTCTCATGAGACTGTTTACTTTAGCCGCGGATAAAAAAAGAACTTTATAAAAGAACCTTTTACTCACTTCTTCTGTAGGTGAGGCTGGATCACGAATGATTCGCACGAAGATAGATGCATTTAGGCAGATCCCTTCAAAAACAAAGGTAATCCACTGCGTCGTCAGCAGCTCAGATGTCGGGAGTATGATGACTGCTATGTTAATTATCACATCCAACAACAGAACGCCTCAATCGCTTAGGAGACATTCTTGTCTACATCTGCTCCGGCGGTAAAACAATGGAGGACTGATGACAGCTCACTCGGGGCGGGTCTAAGGTAAAACGCTACTGTCAATCAACAATCGTGGTAGGGCCTGGGTCTGTGTGACGTCACACAGACAGGCATCTGAGAATGGCTTGATTTGAGAAAGGGGAAATTATTTAACGAGATTAGAAAATACCCACTGGGTGGATCTTTATCATTATAGGGTGGTTGTGTACACACACTGCCAACACACATTTCAGTTCAAACTAGGGCTGCACGATTAATCGCATGCGATATTTAACGCGCATCTTGTCAGAAAGCCGGTTCTGTAATCAGCCGCGTTAAATATCGCATGCGATTAATCGTGCAGCCCTAGTTCAAACAAGTTGTAAAAGTGCATGTCGCATCCGATGACCCCTTTAAATAGCCTATATATTTCTTCTTATTAAAGTTACAAAAGTGATTTAGTCAAGAGCAGCGAGACATTTTCTCTTTTGTCGTTTGCTTAACATAAATGACAGACAGCAGAAATATTATACTGCTGTCACTTTAAGAGCTGCCCGGATCCAATATACTGTTATACATGTGTTTTCTTTCTCAGCTGTTTGCTTTCACTTAAGACCTAAAACACTTTGTTTAGAAAGATACCTGCAAAGACGGGCATTTTGACACATACAAGTGTGTGCATTTAACCGTTCAAGGTCTATAAAGCGGCAAAATATCTCTGTTAAATACTTTATACTAGTACTCTGTGAGCACCGTCTTGACGTGCATGCGCACGTAGCGAAATGAGTTCCCTTTTGCTGCTGTGCTGACTGCATTTAAACAGCTTAAAATCACTTGTTTTTAAACTGCAATGCATAAAAACATGCAAATGATAAGTTTCTACTGGTTAATCGTGTCTACCGGTATATCGCCCACCCCTAGTGTAACCAAACATAAAATTCACAATAAAACAGTACAATCCAAAAGTTTCATGAAGCAGATGTGAAGAAAGAACCACACCTTTCATCATATGGACATAGTATAAACAAAATTAATGTATGACCAAAAACCACCACATTACTCTATTATATACTAAAGTGGGTCAGCCGATGAACGGGTTGTTTGCAGACACTACTGGTGCTACATGACTAGTGAGGTTTTATTCTGAGTAAATGTCAATGATGTAGAGACAATGGTGTCATCCTCTGACCGTTTCAGAAAACACTACAAAATTGTACATTGTTTACCTCTGTGTACGTCAAACATTGTGTGGGTGGGTGATGATACATTCAACAGGGCGCTGCGTCACAATTGTGGGATTTCCACCACCATCCATGTCACTCAAACCACAGGCCAAATCACCTCGCCAAACAAGCCAAACCACAACCACAACCATAGCGCTCAGCCACCCACACAAACACACATTCCAGAGGGTCGTTTCAGAGTCACGCTGCCAACCATGTGAAATCAGCTAGCTGAGTTTTGACAGTCCAGCGGCAAGAGATTTACTGATGCTGAGATGAGTCAAACAACTGGGGCCACACAGGAAAACACAGAAAAGTGCTGACACTCACACAGACGCGTTTACTGAAGCCTACTGTGATATTTGCTCTACTTCTCCTGTCACTTACATATATCAGCGTCTTTCTAGTCAAGCAAGAACACTACAATACTAAATGGGGGGGGAGACAGAAACAACCGCAATACTCATTCAACAAAATTTGTTACAAAACATAAATTGAGCTTTTTATCTGAACACAACAACACCTGAACTTAGGGGTGTGCGATATATATCGTCTGCGATAATATCGTAATTGTTGTTTTAACGATGTGCGATTTGACATTATCGAGTATTTTGCAAAAACCATTCAAAACATCCCTACAGAACGCACGCATACATTATGCGAAGTCTAGACTAGCGCGTGTGCGCATTTAGTGTGTTTTCTTTCACTGCATGATTCAGTCTATTAAAATGCATTTAGAATGATCACAAATTCAAGACATGGCAGAAAATTTATATATTTATACCACTTCATATAGTTATTCAATTTCACACGAAGAGTGCCGTTTTTCTCCAAAAATTACCATTATTACAAATGTGACATTGAATTCAATAAACAATAAGTTAATTAAGAGACTTACGTTTTAGACACCATATTGCTTGTTTTTGCTCTATTTCGCCAACAAAAATAATTCCGTTTTGTGTCTCTGACCAACATGACGGTATTTCATTCTTGAATGAATCAACCGTTTAAATGATTCGGTTCAATCGCAATGACTCACTTATTAACAGTGATTTGCTGCCACCTGCTGGCGGTTTTAATTTCAAATTTCGGCTTTTTCTTTCTTTTCTTTTTTTTGTGATTTTTTTCACGTTTTAAATCATTTCAAATATCAGTTTTCAACATTTTATGTTTAATATATTAAAACATTATTTATGCATTTGTAATTGCAGGTTAAATGCATTCATGTCTTGCATTAAACAAAATACATGTGTGTAAATACATCTAAATGCCACTTCAGATGCAGCTTCTGTGTTGATTTAATTTGCTTGGTAACAGCCCAAATGTCTTATTATTCTAATTCCCTGATTAAATGTAAGAATTTGACTCAAAAGATAATGGACACTTTTAGAAAAAATGGCTTTATAAAGGTAAAAATGCCCATAAAATGCAAAAATCAGTTTAAACTTATTGG